CAAATGAGGACACAAACCAACGCAAAAGGAAAAGAAAAGGGCATAAAGAACTGTTAGAAGAGGCAGAATTTGGGTGTGGATTTTCGTCGCGTTTGTAGTTTAGTTGAAAAAACATGTCCGGAGTCAACACTTATTTCTGAATTACGCCGTTTCGGTAAGCCCCCGGGGGAGTTTTACTCTCCTTCAATGCTCAGGTGATGCCATTGATAACTCTTATGTATTGTGGTGGCTTGCACTGTCATTAGAATTGCTGTAACACGCGGGAAAGCTATTAAATGGAACAATTATTTTGAATTTGCGCGCTGGGGGCTGAATTCACCATGCTAACACCTTGGTTTCCCTTCGTTTCTCGCCTCATTTTCGTTCATGCAACCCTCTCGCTCCATGCCTTACGTGGACGGGGGTATTTCGGGCAACGGGAGCCCAACCAAACGTAATTTTCCTGCGGGATTCGGGAAAACTGGTTCAAACTAGTCCTGTCTGGTGGCCCCCCTTTGCATCACGTTAGGCCAATCTTTTGTTTATAAACATTCCGTCTCTCGGGTTTTGGGGAGAAAGGCCGACAGACAGACTCCCCGCAGGACGTTGATGCCTTCATGTCGGATCGAGAGACGAGGGGAATTTGTCCTTTTTCTCTTTTTTAGGAGAGGAAGAAGGGTAAATGTTAAAAAGAAGCGAGGGTCGAATCTCTTGCCTGTTTTGACGCGTTTTGGTGGAGTTTTGGTCTTGAGCTTCTTGGTGGGTTTGAGGCTGTTGAAGGTTTGTTTTTGGTGGCGTTTGCTGTTTGTTTTGCTTTGGATTTTCTTAACTACTTTGCGTTTTTGTTCCTCTAGGCTAGGTACGGTGCTTTTGCTATTTTAACTTTGTACTGGATTTAAGGAAATTGGTTTGGGAATAGTTTAGGCTTAATTCATATTTGTAGTGAGACACTTGGGGAAAATTAAACCCGCACGGTGGTTTGGACTCTTTGGAGTGAAGTTTGTTGGGTACGTACTGGAGTAGTTATGAGTGACATTTACCAGTAGCGGTACGAATCATGAAGTCATTACAACAAGATTACTTTGAGCTCATTTCAACTGATATTATGTGTAGAATAGCGAACCATTACTGAAAATAGAAGGGTCACTCGTAACCATGCCAGACTAGGGTAGGCCAGTGATAGTGTGATTATAGATTATAGGAATAGCAAAAGAAATAATGAGGTAATAATTCCCCAAAGCATATGGTAGACTTGACTAGCTGTAGGAAAAATTACATTTAAATGTTTAAGTCTCCTAGACATTTATTGATATTCTCTCTAATTGTAAGGTCAGTTTGTTGAAATTGTGAGGGGCCAGACTCAATGAATTTTTGCATATTCAGACATGCATATACTCGGAAATAAATGCATATCTGTCTGTCTGGTTGATATGCATGGCTAGAATAATAGATATTCATTAATTTTTTATATATATGCTTATCCGTACATATGATTATATTCTTATCTGTACAAATAATTACTAAGCAAATATAGCAGTAATATTAAAACAATAGATAGGCTAATCTTAGTATAAATGGCTGAAGAGTTCCATATTTTGCATAACTGCATTAAATATGTGCTGATGGGTATTTTTTGTGGATTAAATGAGTGCTGATGGACATTTTTGTGTCAAGATTCTGCCTAGACTGGGTTGTGATGTCATGCATGAAAAGTGTCACTTGAACCTGTCCAAGCGAACGCGATATTAAACCTCAGTTATTGTAGAAAAGGTATGAATGATAATGAATATCTTCACAATACAGCACTTATATTTAACTGGTTTCAATTATGTCTTTCATAGATGAAGATATAATCAAAACTGGTTAAATGCATCTCTTGTATTGTGAAGATATTCATTCTCATTCATACCTTTCCTATATCTTGTTATGGAATTATGGAATGTTTAGTAAATGCAGTTAAAGTGTGTCTTTGTTTGAAATAATGTATTAGTACACCTGTTTAGCTGGGTCGTTGACAAGGAGATTTGGGAAAGAATATTCCCTTAGATAAAGAATCACATAACAATTCAGGCTTTTATTCAAAGTAGGTTTGTGTGGACACAGAGAAAAAATTATATAACTTTCTGTAAGGAAACATAACTCAAATAGGTATAAGAACTTATTTGCATCAAGTGATATTATCCTTGCACTCTGGCAAAGGATTATAAGCCAATATCCAATGTCAGTCCCATAGCCAATAGGTTAACAATTTACATTTATATATTTTTTTTGTGAATAGTAATCAAAATGATTTTTTTTTTCTTTGCTAAATGCATGTCTCTTCATGTTTTATTTAGATAGATAGGGAAATAGGTTTATGTTTATCTTTATTTATAAATTTTACTTTTCCAGATATATAAGAAAAAATGTTTGGACAGCCTCGAGCCCCCTTTGGAGGCACAACATCCTCCTTTGGGGCAAGCTTCGGGACCCCCAGTACAACAACAACAGGCTTTGGAAACACATCCTTTGGAAGGACCACATTTGGAAATCCAGTAAGGCTTCTTATTTATGTGCTTTACATTTCTTTTGATGAAACCAAGTTGATATTATGTCCAGATGCTTTGAAATATTTAAAAATTCATTATTTAAGATGATTGAATTATTATATCAAATTTGCATGCTATTGCAATAGACTTTTTTCTTTATTGCAGCAACAAACAACAAGTTTTGGAACCACAACAACACCATTTGGTGGTGCTACATCATCTGGCACTTCCCTCTTTGGTACACAGCAGCAGCCGGCAACAGGCGGGCTGTTTGGACAACAGCAAACACAACAGCCATCAACTGGTTTCAGTCATCCTAGTAGTGGTTTTGGTTCTACTAGTGGTGGTGGATTATTTGGACAGACACAACAACCAACAAGCACAGGTATTACAATTTTATAATGTTCATTTTATGAATGATACAGAATACTATTTATTATTAGTTACATTATAGTTTTAGACTGTTGTATGTGTGTATGATGATTCCATACAAATGAACTATTTTTTGTTTCAGCAGGCCTATTTGGCAGCACTGGCACGAGTGGGTTTGGTGCCCAACAATCAACACAGAGTAGACCATTTGGCTTTGGTCAGACCACAACCAGTACCACTGCAGGAGCAGGAGGTCTATTTGGTACCACACAGCCAACCACTGGAGGAGGATTGTTCAGTGGTACAACAGGTACTAATTTTTTCCCATCAAACCTTTCTTTACTCAATTATTTTCATTTGTGTTTACATGTGTGTTCAAGTTATGTAATTCCATAGATCATTAGTCATAAGATTTTGTAGTTGTAAATTGTGGTTGCTTAAAGAATATATACAATCGTTTATTGATATTTTATCAGGATTTGGTGCCACCGGAGGAGCTGTCACAGGCACGACTGTCAAGTATGAACCTGTAACAGGCACAGACACCATGACCAGAAATGGTGTATCAACAAACATTCGGACGCGAATTGAAGTCATCTCAACCATGAAGGTTAGTGGTCTTTGCTTTATTTATGGATGATGTTTTATTCTTTTTCAAAGCAAATTATCAAGAAGCAAGCTCTTGCAGGATGTTTGATTATAATATTCAAATGTTTTATTTTAGGAATATGAAAATAAATCTCTAGAAGAGCTGCGTGTTGAGGACTACTTAGCTAACCGCAAGGGTCCAGGCCAAGGAACAACTCTACCTGGCTTTGGTCAGACACCCCAGGCAACAAGTACCCAGCCACAGATGCAGGGTACAGGGTTGTTTGGAACAAGCACTGGTACTTCTCTCTTTGGAACTGCAAAGCCACCAGAGAATAAGTCCCTCTTTGGCACTGGAACCACTAGTGGTAAGTTATTTTCTCATGATCATTTAAATGATGCAGTTTATTTGCATACCTAATTTATTTTGATTATTTTACATTTCATAGAAGTGAGAAATATAAAGTTCATGATTTATTTACATTTTTAGTATAGGAGAATGGATGTGTTATTGATAAAACCAAGGCACATTTACATTTACCTGTCACTTACAGGTTTTGGTACAACCTCAGGTGGTGGCCTCTTTGGAAGTGGAACAAGCACTGCTGCATTTGGTCAGACTAGCACTGCTCCAGCCACAAGCTTCTCCTTTAACCAGACAACACAGCAACAACAAAAAACAGGAGCCTTCTCCTTTGGCACCACCCCGACATCAACACCATCACTGTTTGGTTCAACACCGCAGCAGCAACAACAGCCATCCTTTGGCTTTAGTGGTGGCTTCCAATTGGGTCAGAACACTCAGCAACAGGTAAATGTTGTTCTACCACAGTATATTTTCCAAATTTAATGTAGGTAATATGTTTCAGAGAAGTATATACTGTTATTGTGTGTTGCCATGACAGTACTGATCATAACTTCTGATTATTTTTGGCATAAAACTATTTTGTTATATATTACAGAATACTGGTGGTGGTCTTTTTGGAAATCAGAAACCTGGATTCTTCTCAAATCAGAATACAGGTACTGGGCTGTTTGGCAGTAAACCGGCTGGCACAACCCAGCCTCTGACCACTGGATTTGGAACCACCAACCCCGTACCACCATTTGGTTCAACCCCAAATACTAGTGCTGGCGGGGGACTCTTTGGTGCACAAAACACTCAAAACAAGACTGGAATGTTCTCTGGCTTTGGTAAGTTTTGCAAAAACTTTGCAGTGGATTACAGTAAAGAGAAATATTTTTAAAAAATTTGCTTTATATCTTTTTTGATAAGGGTTTTCCAATAGTTATCAAACGGTTACATTTGACCCCACAGGTGGTAGTAGTGGTTTTGGGACCACAGGCTTATTTGGTCAAAACAACAATCAGCAGAAACCAGGGAGCCTCACTTTTGCAACACCAAGTTTTAACCCTGGTCTGGGTCAAAATTTGGGAAGCAATACAGGGATGGGCTTGTTCAACGCAGGTGGCACAAATACCAGTGGTGTAGGCCTTGGCGGGGGTGGCCTTTTAAGCACCAATACAGGTAAAATAGAAGTAGCATGCGTAGATGTTGAGTACCTTGGCCTTTCTCCTTTGTGTTTTTGTGTTTGATTTTGTAATAGCGGTTGGTAGCTTTGACAAGGCATTCCCTTGGAAGTGTGATAAGTTCTTGGGATTGCTTGCACGGTATGGCCTTCGGAGAGTAAACAAATATCCAGGGAGTGTTAGGCATACCTTAGCCGTTGTGCAAGTAGTTAGTCATCATTAAAAACCCCTGCTGTGGCTATAGTGCAGGTGAGGTTAGTTTTGGGGCATTTGTGCTTAAGATTTTACACCAAATAGTGCATAGTCATGATTTATTAAAGATATAGAATGAGTGAGGACCAGGTAGTTTTAGTTGATGTTAGTGACTGTGTTTGTGGTTTGTTTTTATTTTCTTTGTAAACCCTTTTTGTGTCTTGCATGCCAGGGAAAAACTGTTCGACTAATTTTCGAATTTCTTTCATTTAGGTTTTGCATTGCCACAACAAACTGCAGTTGGTGGGGCAGCAGGCGGAAGTGCATATCCAGATCTTGGAAAACTTGTCAAAGCCTTGACAGAGAAGCCATTTTTGAATATAACTAATAATGAAAAATCATCATCAGGTAAGTTGTGAAGAAATTTTAAAGTTGGTGTGGATATGATTTAAAAGTTTGTAAAAGAAATGTTAAATCTGATGTTATTATTGTTGTTGTTATTATTATTTATTTATTTATTTTTCATATGATTTTTTGTCATTGTTATTATTATTGATTGTTACACCTCCACCACCACCTCCTCCCTCATCATACTCATGACCATCATCATCATCATCACAATTGTCATCATAATAATCATCACCATCATTATCATCATCACCATCATCATCATCAGTGAAATAGGAATACATTTATTTATTATAGAATTTTCCATTTACAGATAAATCTAGTTCACCGAGTGACCAAGGTGGGTCAAAACTGACTAGCTCTAACTTGAAACCTACGTATGTTCTTTCACCATCACTGGTTGCCAATAACAAACTGAAACCCAAGCCAATTGCCAAGAATAACAACCAAGGGTAAGTTGAGACCATGTGTTTTTTATTGTTTTTGAGTACTATTGTATAATTCTTATAGTTTTGCTATGGGGAGATTTTTTTCTTAATCATCAAAAATTTTTAGTGTTGAGGCTGTTTCTATATTAATTGTTTCACATTAGGGAGTTCCAGACATTTTTAGTAATGTTCGGTATGAATTAGACAATGGAATTTAATGCTTTTATTTTATTTATTATGTATTATGACAATTTTTTGTATTATATTTTTTCAGAAATGACAGACACTGGCTCTTCAAAGGGCTAGATGATCCTAATGAGGAGAGCTCAGAGGATTTCCTAAAGCCCAAGAAATATCCCAGCGTAAGGAAACTGAACCTGAAGGTGTTCAAGGCTGCTAAGGCTGATTCGTCCCTGAGCAGCCCGACCGTCAGTACCACGGCTGATAAGCCGGGCGCAGGGGATGCTCCCTCTCCACTCACCACTCCTGTCAGTCCCATTGGCGACAGCACACCCATCAGAACTAGCCTCCCTCCCTCACATGACAGCTCTCCCACACCTGACATAATCAAGGTGAGGTGCAGTGCATAGCTTCCTGTTGTGAAATTTTTGCTCTTTATTTTTTAAATGATATTTAGTGGGGATTTGTAATTTGAATTAAGAAACTGATTTATTTTACTATTGCAAGGCAAGGAAAATTGCTCATATTTTTTTTAGATTTTATTGCTAGTATTGTTCCTGATTTTATCATTATTAGTATTGTTGTTATTGTCATTTTTGTTGCTTTTGTCTTTAATAATAATATCAATATTGTTATTAAAATTATTGATTATTATTATTTTTTTTATTGATGCTACTGGTGTTATTACCATTATTACTATCATTATTAATTATGAACCTCTATATTCTGGATGACATGACCATTATATCAAGAAAAAAATTGGCTTGAGGGCTGGGTGATGTGAACAAGCATTCATGGGAAAACCTGGCTGTGGGCAAGTGTGATGCATATTTACCATCATGGGCCAGGGTGATGAGAAAGACTTGCCAGGAGTGCATCTCTTGGAGGGTGATTAGACTCGTTTGGCATTTAGAAAGGGATGTCCAATGGGTAAAGCACAGATAATTATTTTATGTACTCTTACAGGGAAGAGAGAAGATCAAAAGTCTCAACCTGAGAAGCAAGCCCCAGATGAACGATACATTGGCTGACCTGAATGTAGTTCAGCTGGCAGGTGCTGAAGCTGTGGAGGGAAATCTGGAAGGTGCAGAGAATGATGAAAAGGACTCCAGTGCCGAGGCTGATAAGGAAAACATTTCTATCTTTGATGTGTCCGCTGCTGAGGATATTCCAGCTATGGTCAACAAGTCTTCTGACAAGCCACACCCTGCAGGCAAGTTTATTGTTTGTGGTAATTCTTTGGAATCTTTGTCCTGAAAAGTTTGTATTTTATTAATATACTGTAATTCACTTGACTAAACAGATGAAATATATTGCTGTGGATTGTATATTTTATACCTTGTCTATGAAGTCAGTTGTTAAAATTGTCCTGCTTTTCTTTGAACAGGTATCAAGCTCACTCGGTCAGGGTACTTCACTCTTCCCCCACTGGATGTGCTGGCAGAGATGTTGGACTCAGATGGGCAATGCCTAGTTGAGAATTTCACTGTGGGCCGTTATGGATATGGAAACGTGTGTTTCCTTGGTGTCACTGATGTTGCTGGCATTGACTTAGATTCCGTGGTGTTCATCCTTCGGAAGCAAATTGAAGTTTATCCAGAGGGGACGCAGAAGCCACCCCAAGGCCAAGAACTAAATAAACCTGCTATTGTAAGCATATTGCAATATTTATTTTGTAAACCCTATTTGCAAATTCAAGAAATTTTATTCCAGAATAACGCATGTTTTTGCAGAGGCAGCATTTTCTGTATTATGCAAATCTAAAGTTATAACCTGTGGTAATATCTGCTTTTCCAGATTACGCTAGATTGTGTCTGGCCAGTTGATAAGACCACGCGAGAGGTGATCAAATCTTCAGAACGACTACAGGCAATGGGATGGGCAGATTATCTGGAGCGCCAGTGTGTCAAAATGGAATCGACTTTTGTTGAATACCGCCCAGAAACTGGATCATGGGTCTTTAAGGTACCCAGATTTTAATTTTTTGAACTTTTTCATACTAAGAATTCAGCTGATTCATGTGATCAGTTGTATCAGAAGGTTGCACAGTGTATAGTAGAAACTTCAAGTAAAAGGATATTAATAGCATTTCATCATTTTACGGATGAAATTTTTCTTTAAAATTCCCAATAGTACCAAAGCATGTGATACTAACTCGTAGGATGCAAAGCTTACTTGGAAATAGAAAATAAGACTTGAAAACAGATAGAGAATACTTGTGACATCATATGCAAGATTTATTGATTAGCACTATACCACATTTAATGAATTTGAGGAATGAGATTGTGAGGACATTTTTATCACTTTCTAGAAAACATTGTGGTTTACCAGTGGATAGATATGCATATATGTCGTGATAAGATTTGAAAACCTGATAGCTGTTGAAAATAAGTGCTTAAGTTTATAAGTTTTACTTTGCTTGAAATATATGCTAGCCAGTCATCTGGTTACAGTTTGTTGTGCAGTACAGTGATATAACATTTTTCATGATGAACTAGTTTTAGATATTACAGAGTTCAGAAATGATGATAAGTTTTGTCATGACTTCTGTTCTTTTTATTTTATCATAAGATTTAGCAGGGAAAGCATTTGACTTAAGACTTGATAGTATCTAATTATATGTAATAATATATTGATATCTTGATATTATTTTACTTCAGTGGTTATGGAGGATCTTAGATTTTAGAAACTGATTCATGAAGATGTAGTGATGCTTTTAAGTTGCAACAAGGATATGATGAAGGATGAAACTTTTACATGCACTCACGAACATGTAGACACTTATACACAGGCTTAGGGCAATTTTGGTGGTTTCCATTCTTATTAAGAGTTCCATTTTATGTTGACTTCTGCCTCGCTTTCCTTAATTTCGACACTAATGATTTTAACTTGCCGTAGAGGAATGCTTTATGCATGAGTGGTATTTGTTGCCTAAGGCATTGCAGTTAGTCAGTAGCCATGTTGATATTGTCTAGAGTTTGAAACTTGAGTGACAGGCTGCAGATAAGAGGCCTCTAGAGAGAAGGATACAAATGAATAAATAAGTAAATAAATGACCCTTTCCCAATACATACATATATACATATACATACATATGTACATACGTTCATACATACGTACATACATATATACATACATCTTGATATTTTGAAATTTATTCTGCATTTCTTCATTGAATTTAAAGATCTGTGACATTCCTAGAGATATTTTATAGTTTTGCTAACAAAAAATACTTGAATCAGTTGCATTGAAATGTCTGTGATATCTATCTTGATGTGATACCTGATTAATATTTTGTATTATTTGGTATCAAAGTAACTTCACTTGAATCCAAGAGCTCTATTTGTCATGTATTTAGTAAAGTCTGTAGTTGATAGCTGGGAAATTATCTTCTATATTTTATTGCTTTTGACTTTTAGGTTTATTTATTGTTTGATTTTGTGTATGATTTGACTAGTTACTTTTTTGTTTTATTGTGGTATTTATTTGTGTTGTGTCTAGAGGTAAATGATGTCTTTTATGTTGACTTTGAGAATGCATGGCTTGATTAAGAAACATGAAAAAAAATAGTTTACTGTATATTTGTAGCCTTGAGTATTATTTATATATTTTACATTATAAGAACTATTAGTGAGGGCAGTGGTTCTTAGTCTGTATATACTTATGTAATTTGCATTTCCTTTTTTTTATGCTTCTTTTCCCCATGTGCTGCAAGCAGTTCAGCTGAAGCTTTATTGACTACCTCAAATTGGATTTAGCCTTAGGAATAATGTTTGAAAATAAGATGGCAGTGCATTCATTATTTCCCTGAGAACAAAATCAGGCATTTGAACTCCTGAGTTAGTTGTCTATGAGCAGACAAGGAACCACTGATTAAAATTGTTGATTAGAATGATCATTGCTTTTAGCTGTTTTAGCTTTTATGATACTGTTGCACTTTTTTGTTTGCTTGCAGGCAAAGTTGTATTAGTATTGATGTTACTTAATCTTTACCCAATCATATCGGGAGATGCCAGATGACAACCTATCACATAATACCCCCAATCCTTGGAAGATGTTTTTGCATCATGTGTGGTAAAGCTTGCTCAAAGTTATTAAACCACTAACGACAGGTGTCCCACATATGAGACACCCTAAAAAAATAAACATTGCTGGGCGTCCCGCCAGTGTGACGCTGTATCGGGGCTAGTGCTCTGACGCAGCAGTGGGCCGCAGCCGGTGGGTGGGCAGATCCGGGGCAGTCCCGCCCGCCGATTTTGTAGCAGCCCGGAATCTTTTATTTTCGGCTTTAAAATATACTGGCATTAATGGGTTAATGCAAAGCAATGATGGATGTCTTTTACCCTGGCTACATTCATTAAGGAGAAGGAGCCTCTCAAAAGTAGGCTTAACCCACCAGTGATAGTACATTATCAGGCCGAAAATAATTTTTCCGGGCGGCTTCAAAATTGGAGCGCAGGAGAGTCTGGGAACCTACAGCGGTGACAAAATCAAAACGCAAGCTCCAATCTAGTGTCGCACCGGCGGGATGCCTGGTAATGTTTATTTTTCCGGGTGTCTAATATGTGTGACACCCGTCATGATTGGGTTAAAGCCTCTTTTTAGTCTCATTACCTAAATATCGTTAGTGTTGTGGTGAAGAACATAAAGAACTGACTTCACATGCATCCTGAAGTGTTTAATAATGCACTGGAGGCTCCCTTTGTGATTGGGTTCATATTGCTTATAAATTTGCTAGATGCATGTCATTGTATTTTTGAGATGCTGAGAAAAAATATTAGAAGGTAAGTACACCATTCATTTATTTGTGCATATATATTTACAAAAAATTGTAGACGCTTAGCCTATGTTTATTTGTGTGTGGCATTGGGAATTTGCATATGCTGGGAAGAAGATTGAAAAGGCATGAAAACCAGATTTTTCTCATGTATTGTGGAGTTACTCTTGTGCGTGAGAAAAGTAGGAGGATTGTTTGAGAAGGATAACAGAAACCTGAAATGTGAAAGTATTTGCAAAGATTAATTATAAGCCATAAAAGAAAGAAAGAGAGCTCATGATGACGTCTTATACGAAGTTATGCGTAAAGAAAATACATTTGGTTTAGGACATTTAATTACTTGGATTAAAAGTTGCTATACATTCCCATGACATTGATGATATTAAATCTTGAACATGGAATGCAGAAAAGTAGTGAAGATTTTGCGGTATAGGAGTACAGTTGTGTACATTATCTGTGATATGACCGTGAAATGATAGTGATGGAAACATAGTGAGGTAGGCTGAAGTAGGATGCAAAGATTTTTTCATGGAAATAGGATTAGGATGAAAGATGAATTATATTTTATCCAACAGGACCATAAACAGGAAGCAATATTGCTAAATTGAATATGGTCATGAGTCTGGAGCTCTGATGAATTATTTTTACTTTAAGTTCTTAAGAAAATACACATGGAGTTATTTAAGCACTAGTAGTACTGATTACTTTGATTTTTTCATAAATATGATATTGATTGCATTAGATTAGTGTAGAAAAAGTGAAGAATACGTTCGGTTCCATCCTACATAAACTCATAATGTGTCATTATTTACAAGTTTATGATATATACAAGTATAAGAAAGAAATAGGACAATGTAGCTAAGTAATATGTAGGATTTGGCTTTTTAAGCTAACCAATGTATACTGCTCAATTAACAGTGTCCATAACTGTTTTGGGAACAAATGCATCACACAAAGACTGTGAGTAATAGGATTATTTCAGAAACAGTTGCCAAATGAGGTATGACAGAAGGCTATTGTGAGTTGTCTTTACAAAGTAATGTTAACTGAAATTAGCCAAGGCTTGTCTCCATTTGATAAAACAATACGTCTAATGTGTTCAGTATCTGAATATGATGTGTGTATAGAGCATGATTTCCTATGTATTTTTATAGATATCCTCTATTATCTTTGATGTCTCACTTTTATAATCACAATGTTAATCACTAGATAATTAGTCTTGTATTAGAAGTGATACTAATATGTAGGATTAATTGTGTTTTGTTTTACTGTGGTGGAAATGTGTACCTTCTGAATTATGTAGTACCTTGAAACGTATATACTTACTTTTTATTGATCTGACTGTGAAAGTTGGCAAATATATATATATATATATATACATATATCATGATTTATATTATCAAACTGTAGTAGATTATGTTGCTTTGTATTGCAATAAAGGTGCATGACTATCAGAATTTTTCTGATCCTAGTGCAAATGTGATTTTCTTGTACATAGTCAGGAGATACAAGTACTAG